ACGAACTGAGCCGCCCAGAAGACTCCGGCCGTCTAGGAAAAAGGGAGGAGCCAGGGACGCCGCGTGGACAGCATTAGGGCGTCACGATAATGACAAGGCATGGAGCAAGCGTTAGGAGCGGACAAGGGACCCGGTAAAAGCATCTTGGGGCATTGCTGAGTGGCTTCGTAGTAGGCTGTCTCGGCGGTGGTACTCCCCTGATGACCCTGCGGCGGGAGTGCGTCAAAACGAGGGTGGAAGAAGGATAGAGCAGGCAGGTATGGCTCTGGGCCTATACAGGTTTAGCGCCATAGCGCCACGGCGAGACTGCAGTGGGCCGTCAGATGTCAGCGCTCGCTTCCATGAATGCGAACACATCAGTGCAAACCTACGCTTGACGAGTTTGCAATGGACTCGGCACGCTCTCGGCAGACGGCTGGACAGAATAGCCCGAAACCGTTTCCTCAGACATGAGAACTGGTTCTGGCTGCCAACGAAAAAGGGTATTCGCCACACTCGGCGTGACCGCACAATGACAGAGATCTGCGCGCCACAGCACAGCCACCCCACTTGATCCCGCGTGGTCATGATCGACACCCGGGCGAGCAACGAACGAAACGTCTGTCCCGTCTGCCAGGGTGCAAGAATGACGATAGTGTTATAAGAATAGATCTGCAGATCATGAGCTTATTCAGGGTCGATTCAATTGACGTCGGACGATTTGAGGATTGGTGGTAATCGCACCGCTGGGCAGCAACAAGTGCCGCCACGAGACAGAACTTCGGCCTACTGCGAGATTGCGATGCTAAGATTTCCATGTTCCGTTAACTCGACTCACGCAATTCCGGTCACTAGTAGTATGGGAAATGTCAAGCTTTGACACCCACATTACCGTGGTGGCGGTGCTAGCATCCATTACAGGGTTCGACACAAACCCTTCGCCGAATCAGCGTCCGGCCGCGAACGCGAGCGTTGGCACTACTGTAGAGCCTCTTCGTAGTCAGAGGCCGGGCTGGAACCCTGCGGGGGTGCTCCAAGTGCGCGGTGCATAGCAATCGTTTCGTGAATTCAACTCCGGTATAGCCGATACGCCCGGATAGCGTTCCCCTGGCTATCCGTACACATTTGCGTCTCGTACGATGCAGATACAGCAGTGAAGCGACTGTGGCTGTAAAGGATGATCTTTCGATAAAGTGTCCCCGTCTTGAGAAATCTCGCACCCATGAGCCGACTGGAGCACGTAACTCACCCCTGGCGATCCGTCACCACCCCACATCTCCGGCTTTGCACGTGGTCGGTAAACTTGGACCCTTGCGAAGCAAAATCTGAACACTACGTCGTATTATATGGTTGTTTTGGCATAAGTAGCTAACAGAGGCGGTAAACACAAATTACGGCTAGCCTACGGAGAAGTACTCGTTACTAGTCGGCTATACATATTATCGCGATCTGTGTATTCGCGAGTGCTGCACGACGTAACCCGGTTACATACTATGTCGTGGCATTTTGCCACCCAAAGTCCATATTCGTGACAAGTATTGGGGCGTCGGTACATGACGCCGCATACATGTTCAGCCACAGGGGATATGCGCATGTCCGTTTCAGAATGCCCGTTTCAGAATGCCGGGGACTTGAAAGTACACATCGGCTGCTCCGGGATGCTCACAGCGTGTAGACGCGCTGCCCGCACAGTCGACATAAACCTTACGAATCCTATACGCGACTTACAACATAAGCCTAGTAGTGTATAGACCCACGGACCCGTTCGGAAATCCTGCTAGTAGAAATGACCCAGTGACATACCATACGCTCGCTTCGGCTTTTTTCCCGTTCCTGCGCTTCCTCTGTGGTTCGCACTACTCAAGTGAAGCAGTAGCGCGGGACTCAGCAAATTTGTCAACTGCCGTCAATGGCTAATTCGTGTCCAATGTAAGCTTCAACGAGCTACAAATTCGCTCAAGAACTCCTCGATATATTGAAAGTAGCGCGGCTCTGCGACGGTGTCGTTGTGGCTTCCGTTCGGCAGTTCCTTCCAGACTTTTGGCGCTTTGCAGACTTGGAACAATTTGGTCATATGGGAGGGTCTGTGAAGCAATCAGCAAAAGAGAACCCACTGGCGAACCGCTTAATGCTCAGGGCATGCGCTTACGGAATGATTTCGTCCTTGAGACCGCTGAGGAACAAGATAGGTATCTTGCTGATCTTAGGGAGTGTCTCTTCAGTAGGCCAGATCTGATGGCAGAGCGGAGTCAAGAAACGGGCAGGAGGGAATGCACTACTTCAGGTTAGTGATGACCTGCAAGTTTGACGGGATTACCCACGTTGGTATGAGTTTTTTAATCGAGGTGAACGTGTTCTCCAAGATGATACCGGAAATGTCGCCCTCTCTCTGATTACGAGCAGCTAATCCAACGGCAACTGCACCACCAATACTCTGACCGTATACTACGATCTTGGTGTCTCGAAGTTCGTGCCTCTGACGGATATAATCCAAGCCAGTCTGCGCATCGATCATGAGCCCCTTTTCATTGGGATTGCCGGAAGACAAGCCATAGCCTCGGTATTGCAACATCAGCACATTACATCGTAGTTCGCTTTCGAGGATCTTTGCGATGGGAAGCCTGTAGCCGATATTGCCAGCGTTGCCATGAAACATGAGAACCGTTACGTTACGCGCATGTTGCTTGTTGGCTCGAATGAAGAATGCGCTTAGGGATTCGCCGTCTGGTGTGGGGATGAACAATTCCTCATAATCGGTAATGGCGAATTGTGAGGGCCTGGGTACGTTCGTTCGAGCATCGGGAGGGAAACTTCGTGGGTATATGATCTCACTGCCACTGTTTAGCCAAATGCAATAGGGGTACAAGAGACAGCGTACTTTTGCTTGAAGTAAAGGAGACCACTGAGCAGAGCGGCGACACCAGAGGATGCTAGGATGGGTACGCGCAGGTAGGACATGAACGTGTCCATTGCCGAAGCCATGCTCCCTGGTCGGACTTCGGGACCTGTGGGGCGCAGGATAGATCGGGGCTCAGGTGCCGAGCGACTTCGAGGAAATAGCAGCCTAGGTGAGGGGGATGGAGAAGAAACAGAAGACTCGACCATTCGGAGAGCCAGGCAGTAAAATGTAGTATGAGGTTACAGTGCGCAACCGCATGTGAGTGAGGCCTGGAGGTGTCGCATGTTACAGCTGGCTGCTCAGACCAATAGTGCAATGCCAAGGAAAATCAGCCGCGTACAGTCGAGCTGCCTGCACCACCGCCTATAGCAACAACTCACCCCACAGCTCCTGTTGCCCGCCCCATACGCTTCTCGAACACCCGAACTCGTCCAACAACCTCTCGTTATAGTCTACCAGCTCACATTGCAATGATGATGTCCACAGGCATGTTGGGAGAAGGTACATTTGCCGCTATAAACAAGTCCACTATGGGAAGCTCACATTGCGCAGATGGCATCCATGTCGACATGAACCACCTCAAGAAGGGCGAGGTCAAGTAAGCTGTCCGTACATGGAGAGCGCTGTGGGAATGCTAACAACCAACCTAGCCTTGGAACATCCATCATGGCCATCAACTTCAAAGACGGCGTCATATTAGCTGCCGACAGTAGGACAACGACCGGAGCATACATCGCGAACCGAGTCACCGACAAGCTCACACAAGTCCACGACACTATCTGGTGTTGCAGATCCGGATCAGCAGCAGACACACAGGCTGTAGCAGACATCGTTCAATACCACCTGGGCATGTACGGTACTACAAATGATGAGCCACCGACTACACAGACAGCGGCAGCCATCTTCCAAGAACTCTGCTACTCCAACAAGGACCAACTCTCGTGAGTAGTACATGGCCATGCGAATACCAGTCACTGACACATCTGCAGGGCTGGACTCATTATTGCCGGATGGGACCACCGACACGGCGGCCAAGTATACTCGATTCCCCTCGGAGGCTCCCTGCACAAGCAATCATACGCAATTGGTGGCTCGGGTTCAACGTACATCTACGGATACTGCGACGCAAACTGGAAGGAGAACATGAGCGAGGAGGAAGGCATCAAGTTCGTCAAGGGCGCACTCTCGGAAGCGATCAAATGGGACGGCAGCTCGGGTGGTGTGATTCGCATGGTAGTGCTCACAGGCAAGGGCGCGCAGAGGCATCTATACCTGCCAGACCAGAACTACGAGGGGCCAGGCAAACAGTAGAACTGGTCGTCATGACGGTGGTGGATACATAGGAACACCATGTATGATATAGCACGACATGATGATAATACCTGAATGAGCTACATGAGACAAAAGGAAACCATGGCTACCATGGTCGACCTGAACTGGGGCAATGAGCGTGGCGCAGCCACTGGCCAATCAACAGTCAGCATTAGCCCATTCGTCGTCGGCCTTTTTTTGCTCTTTGCTCAGCTCCATGCATTCTCTCACGTTGGGGGACGATGCAAATTCAGAAGATTAATCATCTCTCTAGTTTTGCAAAATGCGGTCGTGGGCGTGCAGTGCCGAAAAGAGAGAGTGTAGCTGCACAGTGTCGTCACATGCGTTTTGAACGGTGCAGGTGAAGTGCGGCCAGGGTCTCGTTGAATCTCGCCAGTCGTTGGTCTGTGACGTTCTGTTTCCCACGCCTTCGTCGAACAACACCTCATCACTTCACCACGCTGGGACCCCATCCGGCGCGCATTCTCACTTTTACCTTGACACGACGCGTGCCGTCCAATTTACTTTGGGTACGGCAGAGTAGAGCAGGCTCGCACGCGATATCTGCGCCCCTTTAAGCTGCGTCCAACTTCGGGCTCTTTACGATAAGGCTCAACAACAACACCACCGACACCTCTCACCGACACACTCGGCCTCGCAACCACACTCCCTCCTGCACCCAAAACAACCGCTGTGTCGCGCCTTCCTCCAAGCCAAGACGTCTTGAACTCCGCGTCTCTGCGCAGTCTGGTTTCGCGGAATGACTTCGCTTCTGGTGAGCGACTTCGGTGGGAACCACTTTCACACCAACATGTTTGGCGGCGGCAGCACGCACCAGTCACAAGAGTCTCCTGCCGGACGTCACACTCCAGTACGACCGTCGCCTTCTTCGAGCACCCATGCGCCGCGCGTGGTAGCTTCGTCTGCTGATGTTCCCATGGCCGATTCGGCAGCCCCGCAGTCGAGCTCAACATCAGGACAGCGATCGCAGCAGCAAAACAGCTCAGAGCCCAACACCACCACACCCGCTGCCGAACAAGCAGTACCGACACCACCCAGTCCACACTTTCGACCCCACTCACAACAGCCGACGCCTTCGGGCACAGACCCCGCCTCAACAAACACTCGAACCGTTCCCTCGTCAGGCTCAGCACAGTCCTTGCGATCGCCGGAAGCATCTCCAACCCGTATCAAAGTCAAGAGTCTGTCACACATCCAAAGTTTTGCAATCGATGAGTCCAGTCCCTTCTCTCAGTCGCGCTCGCTCGCACGGCGGCAGCGACGAGACCCTGCAGAGGTTGGGCCTCAGTATGAGATCAGCGAGATGCCCGTTTCCGACATAATTGAAATGGTAGCTGGATTGTTGACCAAGATTACGACGACCAACGATCGCCAGCACGACCATCTACACCGCCAAATTCCACCATCTGAGGGCACATCAGGGTTGAGCCAACAGACCACCAGCGTTTTGGCCTTCCACGGAAAGAACGTCCCCAGCATCTCAATTCTCAGCTATCTCAGCAGAATCCACAAATACTGTCCTACCACTTACGAGGTCTTTCTGAGTCTACTCGTCTACTTCGACAGAATGACAGAGAGGGTAAATGCTGGCCCCATGTCTGGTCTTCGCAAGGCTAATCAACAGTCTGTGGAACATTCAAAGTCTACAATGTCAGCGAATCCGACCCCATCAGACAGCACACGACCTGCATCGGCTTCCGCTCAGGCGGCGACACCTCCTCCGTCAGGCTCCCTAGGCAAGCCATCGCAAACGCCGCGTGAAGGTCTTCAGCCGCCTTCACCACCTCAGCAAGATCTCGACATGGATGGATTAAACCTTTCACACTTCTTTGTTGTCGATAGTTTCAACATACACCGTCTCGTCATAGCCGGTGTTACATGTGCCAGCAAGTTCTTCTCCGACGTCTTCTATACAAACTCGAGATACGCAAAGGTTCGTCTTGATCGACACACAACGTCTAAACGTTTGCTAACAACACAAAGGTCGGCGGTCTACCGTTAGTCGAACTGAATCACTTGGAGTTGCAATTCCTGCTGTTGAACGACTTTCGCCTCGCTGTACCCCTGGAAGAGATGGAGGCGTATGGAACGATGTTGGTCGAGTTCTACGCACGTGAAGTTGCTGAACAGCACGAACGAGAAAACGGCGTGAAACAGTAACACTGCAGCCAGCTTGTACAAAGTACTTGTCACGGTTTGCTCAAATCAGAGAAGACAACATAACAGGAGAGGGCAGAGAAGGCATTGCGGGTCCGTACCGAACAACTAGGAGGTCCCTCCATGTCGAGTGAGAGAAGCCAGAGGATACCACTTTTGCGCGAACCATACCTAGTGTATGAACTACATATGCTACGGCATAATTTTTGAGATCCAGAGTCTTTGCATTCTGGAATAGTTTGAAAGGGAAACCGTCACCCCAAAACCCGGGCGATGACTTTGGTTAGCTTGGGTCAGCATGCGAGCGAGTGTTCTTCCTTAGGTGTGCGTAGATTTGGGATACCAATTGTTTGTCTTTATTTCAAGAGAGATTGATGACATTACGACAAAGTCTCGTTCATCTGAGCTTCGTTTACTCTGCCTTTGTATTCTTGTTTTGATACCTTTTCTGAACCATTAGGGTGGCGTTTATAGAGGTGCAATCCGAGCAAATTCGTTCTAATACTACCTATTGGTAACTTTATGAGCTTTACTCGCGTGGCTTTGCTTCTGAGCAAGGAACTGGTAACGCAAGGAGCACGATAATCACGACAAGCAAGTCTGCGAACCATGAATAAGTAGCAAAGAATATGTGAGGGGCACAGCACCCGAAATCTCGGGAGAATCATTCAGCCCCTCCATTCTAGATCTTCCATCCCTTCCATCCCGGACCAGGATCCAGTATAGCACAATCCACGCGCGCAACCCCTGGATGCAGATTACCTGCAGAAGCTAATCAAATCGTAGTCATGGCACGGAGCCCCATGTCCCTGTCTTGCATCCAGCGCGCAGCCCGCGCTTACATAACCCAGGGGTAAAAGTCGGAAAAAGGTGCATCCAGCCGCAACAGTCTCACCCCAACACCGTTTGGAAACTGAAGGCACCCGGGCGAAATGCACATACCACTCGGTGAACAGTCATCCCAGGTTTGATCTGACGCACTGGACGCGGATAAAGTAACATGACACGCGAGGTGGCGCGGGAAGTGGACGGGGCCCTTGATATCGGTAATGACATGGCCACCGGGTGGGGATTTCTGTCGTCTAGTTTATCTAGTTTGGGTTCCTTTTGAAGGGGGAAGGGGGGGGAGGTGTTGGATGTGTGTTTCTCACAACGCTTCCTAACGCACTTTTTCGGTTGCGGTACTTTGCAGTTCGGGTTTGCTCGGGTTCAGGTTACTGTCGTTGTTGTTGTTCTTGCTTGCTTACTTGCGGCGTGTCGTTTGTGCGGTTTTTGCAATGCATCGTTCCGCTTCCACATCGTCATCGTCGTCTTCGTATTCGTCCTCGCTATCGATAACGTCGTTCGTTCAATATGCGTTCCTCGCTGCGCTAGCATATATACTCGCCGGTGCGCCTTTGTCCTCGTTGCTTATTTCACGCGCGGATGGCGATTTGGCGTCGTCCAGCAACAGCCTTGGTGCGAACAAAGGTGTCGATATAAAAGCCAATTTGGAGAACCTAGTGATCCCGGAGAAGAACCTGAGTTGTGTGGCACATGCGTATAAAGGTGTGTATGTGCTGAGCAGGGAGCCATTAGTGGTATACATTGAGGGGTTTGTTAGTGAGGAGGAAGGAAAGGAGGTTGTCGCATTGAGGTATGTTACTTTGATGCCGTTTCTTTTCTTCTTTTTAGGTATTGGTACATGGAAGGATCTCCGTTTCTTGTGGGAATCGCCTTGAGTCAGTGGAGTTGTATACCATATTTGGACGAAGCAGACAAATTAGTGTCTTTTCTATTACACTTGCAAGGTTCTGTGCTCTGAAACTAACATCACGCCACAGTAACCCGCACTTCACACCCTCAACTGTATGGACCTCTGGTATCGAATCCTTCAAGCCATCGATTCGCAACTCTGAAAAAGCTCCCCTACCTCGCAGTCAAACGGTCAAATGCATCGAGGAGCGTGCCCGTGTCTTCCAAGGCTGGCGACCCTACACTTTCATTGAGAAACTCTGGAGCCAGAGATATGGCGTCGGAGGCCATTACACATATCACTACGACTGGAGCACTGCGACCAAGAGAAGCGGACGTGTGAGTTCTTTCATGGTGTATTTGGAAGCGAATTGCACGGGGGGTGGAACACATTTTCCGCGCCTAGAAAGGCCAAAAGATGAAAGCTGGTGTCGATTTATTGAGTGTGGTGATGACGGTGATGTGTCTTCCTCTTCTTCGAGAGATGCAGATATGTCCGCCAGTCCTGCTGAGGATGGACGACCCAAGGAGGATCTAAGCAAAGGTGTGATTTTCAAGCCGATTGCTGGGAATGCGGTGTATTGGGAGAATATGCGGGGCGACGGGAGTGGTTATGCAGAGAGTTGGCATGCGGGGTTACCTGTTACTAAGGGAGTGAAGATTGGACTCAATATATGGAGCTGGTTGGCGGAGGGGTACGTGCCGGTGGAGGGAGACGCTTGAGGGAGTTTGGATGTGCAGCTGAAAATCGGATAAGAAGTGCATCATCATCATCATCAAGAAGAAGGCAAGGAAGACAAAGACCCTGTACAGGGAAGTTGCATAGCTCAGGAGACATACGGGCACATCAGTACAGGAAGACAGCGGGAGGAATGCATAAGTAGCCATCCGAGTACACACCGACGTGCCACACACATTTGGCATATTACACATATGTAGCCAAGGCACATAGTTTGTGGCAGCCCTGAAGACTACAAAGCAACAGAGACAGGAAGAGTTATAGCCCGCGGAACATAGCTTCCATGCATGTACTCAAAGCATTTTAGTGGTAAAGCCTGATGATCATTGCAAGAAGAAAAGATCAAGCCCAATATGGAAATAACAACCAACACATATTCTCATTATCATAAGAGCACTACATACGGCGCTACCTACAACTTCAAATCCCTTGATCCCTCTACGTCAACAGTAACAACGTGGTCAATATGCCCCGCACTCTGCCCAAACGAAAACTCATACTGCCCTCGATCAACAGTCCACTTCCCCTTCGCCTCATCGAAGTAGGCAAAGTCCTTGTTCGCACATTCAAGCTGCACTATCGCTTGCGAGCGGGGTTCCAAGTAAATCTTCTTGAAAGCCGCCAATGTTTTGACAGGATGCTCAGCCGATTGGTCTTTCCTACCGATATACAATTGGACGACGGTAGAACCAGCAACATCACCTATGTTTGTGACCTCAACACTAGGCGCAAACTGTTCGGGCGATGACTGAGGTACACGTGCGTCGGTGAGGACGAATGTCGTGTACGATAGACCAAAGCCAAAGGGGAAGTGGATCTTGTCTGCGGCGATACGGTCATAGTGCCTGTATCCTACGAAAATGCCCTCGTCGTACCTAACGGTGAGCTGACCCTTATCATCCCGCGTGCCAGGGAAGTTGCCATGCGCAGGCGCGTCCTCGATGCGTTTGGGCCAGGATATTGGAAGATGTCCGGAAGGGTTCACGGCGCCGGAGATGATGTCTGCGATAGCGTTACCGGCTTCTTGGCCGGGGAACCATGCTTGTATCAAGGCAGAAACTTTGCTCAGCCAGGGAAGAGCGACGGCTACACCCGTTGAGTTTACGACGACGGTCTTTGAGTTGACAGATGCGACTGTTTCGACGAGCTTGTCTTGTGAACCTTCGCGTGGTAGATTGAAGCTGACTTGATCTTGGCCTTCGGTTTCCCAGACTGGTGTGTGGCCGGTGAAGACGATAGCGATGTCACATTCTTTTGCGAGGTCTTTGGCTTCTGCGGCCATGTCTAGATCGTGCTCTTCCTCGTACATGAATCCCAGTCTGAAACCTGGGAGACCCGAGAGAATACCTTCGTCTGAATCGCCGGCGGGTGGCTTTGAGTGAACCTGGATCTTGTAAGATTCGCCCTTGGTAAACGATACACGAAACTCTTTCTCGGGGTTGCCGCCAAAGAGAAAGCCCATAGGGTCCGGAGAGTTGTGCTTCTGCTCATAGACGAGCTTGTCGTTGACATGTACGACTGTGGGGCCGATGCCTGAGCAACCCAAGTAGTGCGAGCCAGACTCCGTAGGCGTAAACATACTAGTAAATCTGACCTCACTATCCTTGGCACTCTGTTCGAGCAACGGAGTAAACGCAGCTTCTTTATTGCCGTGCTTAGTCTTGGTGGGCTTGCTGGTGTTGCCCTTGTTGAACAGTTCCATCGTCCAGCCATGTTTTCCCTCAAGATCTTTGCAGCCTTTGGATAGGGGCGGGATGAGTCGATATGTAGCGGCGCCCTTGGCAAACTTGAATTCCACATCGTTGCCATAAGCAGCTTTGAGGCCTTCTTCAGGAGTGATGCGGTAGTGAGCGTTCAAAGAAGCACTTCCACCACCATGAATAAGAGCCTCTTTCGCCAGACCAAACAGGCCAATTGTCTTGCCCTTGACCTCTTCTCTCTTGAGTGGCAGGACGCCATCGTTCTTCAGGAGAGTGATGCCCTGGCCTGCAACATCCCGGATAAGCTTACTATGCTTTGGATCGACGATGGACTGCTCGGGGGGAATCTCCGGGTTCTCGAATGCACCAACCTTCTCGATGAGTTTCAGGACGTTTCTCGCTCGCTCGGTGATGGTGGCTTCAGTGACTTGCCCCTTCTTGACAGCCTCAAGGACAGCATCAGGGCTCCGCCACCTCGTTGGACCAGGCATCTCTAGATCCAATCCAGCATTTAGTGAATCAGCTGTAGAGTTGACACCACCCCAGTCGCTCATAACAAGCCCGTCCCATCCCCATTCGCCACGCAAAACTTGCTTGAGGAGAAACTCGTTGGAATCTGCGTGGGTTCCGTTAACCTTGTTGTACGCTGTCATGACAGCGAGTGGATTTGCCTCCTTGATAGTAATCTCGAAAGGCTTCATGTAAATTTCTCTCAAGGCACGCTCAGAAACAATCTCGTTGACCTTTAAACGATCCGTCTCCTGCTCATTGGCTGCAAAGTGCTTGATAGTCGCCGCAATACCTTTCTCTTGCAGTCCGCTGACAACGTTTGCAGCCATCTTGCCCGCAAGATAGGGGTCTTCGGAGAAAGATTCAAAGTTGCGGCCACCAAGAGGATGCCTATGGTTGCACATGGTGGGCGCCAGACTGGAGCTTCGTTAGCAATTGTCATGTGTGCATTAGTACCAGCAGACTTACAGCACTCTCGCACTCTTGGTCTTGGTCTCCTCTGCCAAAGCATGACCTATCCGCTTTGCGTTTGTAGGGTCCCACGTCGCAGCTGAGCATACAGCTGCAGGAAAACATGCAGCTCGTGTACCTCCTGTAAACACTTCGCCTCGGGCTCCGTTTGGTCCATCGCTCGTCTGTTCATTGTCAGTAGTTACAAAACATGGTAGACGGTACAGCTGCTGGTCCTACTTTAATGGCGGGGACGCCCTTGTCCGGTATAGGTACTGTCTCCCAAAAGTCCTTTCCAGCAAGAAGGGATATCTTCTCCTCTAGTGTCAAGGACTGGAGGATAGTTTCAACCTTTGCACCCATGTTTTCGTTCACGCGGGGCAGAAGAATGATCGCTCAAAAAATGCGAAGAAGCTGTGAGATTGATTGTTCACGCCCTATCGTTTATTCTGCCGTAGTGACAGATATATTCAACAAAAAGAATAGGTAATCGAAAGGGTATCAACGCTCTATACCGCACCTGAAAGTGCACGACCCGTCACTATATGTATCTCAAGGTCTTCCGCTCTTCCCATTCCCATTCGGCAACACTGACCGTGTTTCCGGCAAGCACACCATTGTCGTCCCTATCGGACATCGCAAGTCGCTGAAGTGGAGAAGCAGAAGTGCGCATCATTGGAGCATCTGGAGATCTACCGCAGTGGCACCCGTAAGCGTGCCGAAGTTTTGCCATGCGGACTGCCTGATTGAGTTCTGATTCGTACCCTGAGTTGCGAGGCGTTTCGGAGATTCGCCGAGGGTTAGCCCCTCGGTATGCAAGTCGCTTACCGACTCGACAACAGACAATGTGAGTACGCGCAACACGAGCGGGTTACATGTTGATTTGGGAAAACCACGAGAGCCGGAGATGGATCGGAGAGTTGTGGCAGGTTGCTCTTGTTGTTGTTGTTGTTGTTGTTGCTGCTGCTGGGTTTAGTCATCTTCGGATGCGGCAACCTTCCGAGGCTCAAACGGCATCGAATGGGACCCACGTGTCTTGGCTGGCGCGGCTGTGGCAGGTGAATCTTTGAAAAACTATACGTCATGTTGTGTACGCGATAGAATTGCAATCTCTACGGCTTCGAAACTTCTGTTTTCATTATCCGATATCCTTAGATTTCTGTATTTCCAGGAGTTGTTCCATTCTTGTACATATTTCCATTTCTGGCGCACAGCATGGCTGCATCATCGAAAAAGTCGGGTGAAGTCAAACCCACCATGAGCCGGCGACATCCGCTGCAGCGTTTCGATTCACCGTCTAAAGGATTTTCAGGCGCGTTGCATGTAAGTACTAGAGGAAACGATGTGAATGAAGGAGTAGCCAAGACCAAACATTGACACCAGTTTGCATTCTAGGTCGCTGGTCTAATCAGCTTCTACAGTTCCTTCAAGTTGTATGTGCCGCCTCTTCCGGTTTTGTATAGGACCCCAGCTAACATACATTCAGCCTAGTGGACAACCCCAACATCTTTGTATGTACTGATTGCTCGCATTTCCTACATCGTACTTGAAGTTATAATCTTGCATTTCCTATACATTTATTGCATACAACACAGGAGGCATCTCCATGATGCTGACACTAGTCCCAATCAGACCAACAGTCTAACACACACCAGAATTCATCCTTCGGCTGGCACCTCCAATTCCTGACCATAATCGGCCTCTCCCTCTCCACAATAACATTCGTCTTCGGTCTCACCGCAGACCTAACCTCAACCGCCCTCTCAAGATCTCCAATCCTACCTTCAGATCCACCAGCGGCGGCTCTTTCCGAGCACCTTTTCCGGCTGAAGAACTATCTAGCCCTGATAGCAGCGCCGATTGAAGTCACCATCAGCGTACTATACTGGACGTTGAAAGCCATTGATGGGAAACTCTTGGTACCCCCTGATCTACCATTGCCGCCAGCCATCTATGACATAGGCTTCCACCTCGTCCCCGCCGTTGTCCTAGCACTTGACTACATCCTCCTCTCTCCGCCATGGCCCACAACGCCTATGAATGAATCTGCACCTATCATTACCCTTTCTATCTCTACTGTAATTGCCTTCGGGTATTGGATTTGGATTGTAAGATACGATCTTCTCCTTCCCCAAGAACTACTTGGCTAACCTATGTTTAGGAGATATGCTTCTCCCAGAATGGCTTCTACCCTTATCCCATCTTTGCGATGCTCACGACAAACCAGCGTATAGGGTTGTTCGTTGTAAGCGGGGTGATCATGTGGGTGGTGGGCGGACTATTGAGGGTATTGTATGCGAGAATAAATGGATATGAAAGCGTAGAGCACTTGGAGAAGGTGAGAAGGAACAAAATTATGGGCGGTAGTGGGAAGTGGGAGTAAACAAGGGAAGGGTATCAGGAGTGGTTCATGACAAGACGAGTAGATGATGAGAGGATGTAGAGATACTAGGGAAAGCGTTGACGGGACTTACGAGTATGAGTTGGGTAGACAGTGGAGTACCCTGCGTGTACACAAGGGCGGAAGTAGTATAGACCTGGATCAAATGTAGGAGCCGTTCAGTTCATACAGCTGTGAAAGACAACACACTCGCTTCTATCACAGCTCCTATATTAATTATGCAGACGAGAAACCAGCGATACTGCACATGCCCGCCAGCTTCCCACCAGCAAACCCATGTTTGCGAAGACAGTGCACAGTAGAGTGAGGTATAGAAATGGAAAAGAACATGCCCGAGAATCTGTCCAGCGATCCCCATAGCCCGTCTCTCTGAGAAAATCATATTAGATTATGCCGTATGTCGTTAGTCGTCGAGGTGTAAACCATGTCGCATCATGTAGGAATCGAACACCAAAACGTAACGCAGGAAAGTAAGTCGCATGCATAAGTCGGTAGATAGAATGAGTGCGAACAGTTGGGTACCTGTTACGGCATGCTGACGCCGAGTCGTAAGTGTCGCATCAGGAAGTCCAAGGGTAGCTCGGCATAAAGCTTAAGTGCTCAGCTCGTTGATGGCGAGGGCGGCGCCGTAATTGTGCGTTGGTCATCATCGTCTTGATCCTGCTGCTGGTAGGCGCTTGTGGTGTTGTAGAGATGGCTGGTGTATTGAAAGGCCTGTTGATCAGGACCAATGCCATAGGAGTAGGCGGGGTACTGATAGCCATTGCTCTGGTGGCCATGAAAGTTACTGTAACCTGTCTGATGGAACGATGGTACAATATTCTCCTTGTTCTCGTACTGGAAAGGATCGTTGAAGGGTTTGTAGGAAGTGAATGCAGGTGCTGGGGAGGGAGATGCTTGGTGTGTAAATCCAGACGTAAGATAGTTCATGCTGCTGGGCTGTGAAAATGGGACATCATCGTCATCTTGGAAGACATCGAATCGTTTCCGCTTCGGAGCACGGTTTTTGTGACTGTTTTCATAGCCAGAGCGGCTGCAGTCTTCATCGTATTGATTGCGGCTGAGGAAGGGAAATACGGGCTGCTTGGACTGCCTAGTGGAGCGGCGAGTAGCGTTGGCATCTAGGTTGGCAAGTGCAGGCCGCCTGTGCACCGGCTGAGGACTCTCAGCCTTGATCTCGATCTCGTCCTCTTCGTCAGACTCCGAGCAAGAAATCCTGCGCTGGCGTTTGAAAGTGCCCAATGGGGTGAAGATGAGTTCAGTAGCCTCGACTTCTTGAGAGTTGAGCTCAAGCTGTTCCACAACGGAGCTGTCCTTCTTCTGATTCCTCTTACGCCGCATCTCTAGGGTAGCAGAGTCGAAGATGTCCATGCCAGGCCAGTATACTCCTTTGAGTTTGGTTGATTCACTGACAGCCATTGGATCTGCCACCTCGGCAGGCTCGTCCTCGATGGCACATGAAGCTGCAGCAGTGTATCGGTATGGCCGCCGCCTCTCGCTCGGGTCTGAGTATTCACTAGACGTATCGTAGTCTGGGTTGGTGTAGCTACGGGAGCTGGCGCGCGACTCTGTAGGCCAGTATTGCATATAGGGTGCAAAGGTATTGCGATTGCGAAGCACCGGCCCATTGGGCTGCGGCGTCGGAGAAGGTGACTGCTCCAGCTTGATCCTGGTATGCTGCTGGTCAGATAGGCGCGGATCAAGGAGGTTGCTTGCGGCGGCGCGGCGTACGGAGCGTGGCACCGGGGCCCCAATCTTGAGTGGAGGCGTGGGCCGAGCTGCATCGCGTGGAGTTAGTAACAGTCTGAAGTACCACGGGATGAAGGTGAGGGGCATACCAGTGGGCCTCGCACGGGTGCGGCGTTTGTCCTTTTGATTCATCCGCTCCGACATGAGCTCCTCGACAGCCCATTCGGCATACCACTGGTCATACGTCTCAATGAGCCGGCGAGATGCTTCCTCGTTGGTGGACCGGACCTTGACCTTGTAGTAGTTGGATAAGTGACCTTTGCTGGCAATGTGCGTGAGTAGATGCGAGACATCGCTGAAGGTTGGCTTCTTGGGGCAAATATTGCAGTGAAGCGGAATGTTGGCCATGCCGAAAGCCTAGAGAGACTGCAGTATATTCAAGTGAAGGCTGCAGTGTGAATGCGGGGTTTGTAAGGAGCGTAAGTGAAACAAGCACAAGAGCAGCACAGTGGTGAAAGCAAAGAGCGTTGCGAAAGGAGCGGGTTGGTGAGGTGAAGTGGCGGTGGAAGAGATGCTCATAAGAGACCTGGTACAGAGATGGCTGCCAGTCACTGCGGTAGCTCCTAGCCCATTTCTGGAGCAGATGAAAGGAAAGCAGGAGAGAGACGCCAGCACTTGGAATGGAGGAAAGAGGAAGGTGCACTATCGCGGTGAATGAATTGCAGCAAGAAGATATCTGTTGGTGGTGTTCTAGCAGGCAGAGCACGTGGGGAAGCTCGGCACTGACGAAAGAGGCAGCCACCCTCACTTTCGTCCCGCTTTGTGTCTCGACGCCTATGGGAGAGACGCGAGGTATTAGATAGCGGGAGCGCGACGAGACACGACTGAGGATTGTTACATGGATGTGCAAAAAGATGCTTGAGAGGAACACAGGTGAATGGTCACCCAACTCACCAGCCACGTGCGATAGAACTGGTATTTGTTTATGGTTTTGTCACTTACTTACCCAGGCATCTACGAGTGACAGATCGGGGCATGCAGCTGTTTGTAATCAGTATACAGTACGGCAGTCGATAGCAGTGGTTACATACTACACGGGGTCTACCTCTTCGAGACCCGGATACTTCAGCAGACTGAGACCAGCAATTCCAAAAACGGTGTGGAAGACGTCGACCATATCACCAGGTCGATCTGCGAGGCCACCCAGCTCCGGATCCTAGTATGGTCAGATTGCTGTGATGTTGAAGAGAAGATGCTACGCACCTGGCACTGCAGGATGAAGCTCGTCAACTTCTGCCCGTCTATCCAGTGCAGCTTGTCCAACATGGCCATGCTGCTCATGACCCACCAGCTGTAGCAGACGTCCTCCTTCTTCTCTGGGCGGCCGTTGAGGCCTCCGTTCTTGAGTTGTCGTTCGCTTAGCCAGGCGCCCAACTTTTCTTGGTTGACAAGGTCAAGTCTCCCCGCGATGGTCAATGCGCCGACACACGTAAACACCTGACCCGAGTGCGACTCGGCACCTGGGCTGGTACCGTATCCACCATCAAAGTTGGCGCACGAGTTGACGTATTGAGCGGCCTTTTCGACGTCGACTAGTTTGAGCAGTCCCATGAGAGACAGAGCATTGAGCGCGCCGTAGAGAAAGCGCGTGTCCTGCTCTCCCCACTCATCACCTGCAAATGTGCCAGTCTCGCGATCTTGCAAATCGGCGATGACTACTACTATAAGTACACTACCATGGTAGATGGATGTACATATGACTTACACTTTCCGATCTTCAGCCGACCACCGGGGATACGCTCTTCAAGGTCACCGAAAGCGTCAAGCGTCGCGAGTATCTGCACGCCACTAACGGTATACAGCAGATGGGCATCATGGCCCGGGGCAGCACCGAAACCGCCATCATCATGCAGACACGAGAAGACAAAATCGAGGATGTTGCTGCGCGGGAGAGCGTCTGGCTGTCCCAAGAGATGCAAGGCCGTCAGTCCCCAGTAGAGGCCGTTGAGACGCAGATGTTCGGTGAGCCAGTATTCGAGCTCATCTTTGCGCTGGAGCGGGTCAGCGCGGGATTGGATAGCTGGCTGCTTGCGCGGCCAGGCAGAGCAGAGACAGGCTACGCACGGTGTCGAGGCTCTGGATGTAGCGGACGTGCTTGTCGACGAAGAGATGCATCTCGTCGGGCATGCTGGCCATGCCCGCAGCACGCCCGGGCCCAGAAACAAGAGACATGTCAGACGGTTGTCAGATGTGGGTGGTGTTGGTGGGAGCTGGAGGCACGGGAGGGTCTAGTTGTTGTTGCAGCATGGCGTCGACAGGGGTGGAGCCTGACGCACATTGAGGGAGAGGGTCTGAATTTGAAACGAGACTTGGCACATGATCCACCGCTGTACGAAGCAGGCGCATGAAGCATTTGGAGCCGCCAGCCGCGACAGCCTTGCAGGTAGTAGTATTGCACAGTGGGCGTAGTCGTCCATAGTTCATCGTCCAGCTTCAACAGTCTGCCCTCACCGCCAGGCCTGCACAACGCCCGCTGTGGACACCCGTTTGCGCACGATAGCTGGCTGATAGCGCCTATGGGACGAATTTGGGGGGTAGGGGTTTTAGTAGCGTCGCTCCCTCGTACCTGGGGCCGTGCGCGGTGCTGAAGTCGTTGCCGCCATCCTCTCGCAGGCCTTGGTGCCCTTTGCTCGCAGCATTGCAGAGCCTGTGCCTCTTGGGCCAGCCATCGTCCCCCCCGCCCACCACCACCATCACCAAGGAGACACGTGAATTGTGTCCTTTTGCTGACCAAGGCGCCGCTCACTGCACTCGCTCCTGCAACGGCCGGCCAAGCCCAGCTCCACTCGCTCCATTCATTCCAGGGCCGTCTCCAGTTCCCTCTGTCGCGCCCAGAAATAGTCGTCCGTGTCTTGTTTGTGAAGTGGGTAAGTAATGCCCGTCGACAGCACTGCGACACCTCTAGACTTGTTTCCACTCGTGCCCGCTCCAATGTTGTACCACCGTCAACAATCGCCATAGCGCCGCCCGGCCCCTTTCACGTTCCGCAGCGCTTGCTGACTATATCCCAGACGTTGCATGACCGCCTCATTGCCCGCGGCCCAGATACTCGACGTCCAAAAAGTGAGCACGTCTGGTGGACTGTGGTCACATATCCGCCTTCGACACCGGTAGCACGCGCCCGGCATTGTCCATCTTTCCGGGTTCCTGCACGCGAGCCACGTCCTGCCGTTGGTGATATAGACTCAACACCCGCAGCCGACACATCGAGGCACGCCTGCAGAGGGCGCTGACCAGGCTCTGACGGTTCGTCCTACCCCGCGCGCCGTCTGATACCTCCTTCACTTGTCATTCACTACTCTATGCCATGAATGAGCTTGCTGCTGACAGCCATGAAATGTAGACTCGTTGAATGCGCAACCACCCATGTGCTTCACTCACTAAACCTGCCCTCGTTACCCATACACCTATACCTACACGCGCCGCGTCGTCTGTTCCAACATCTGCTCGATTGCCTGCCCATTTGCGCGCTTGTTCCAAAACACTCATCGAGGTAGTGCGCTTCTCGACCTGCAAGCTTGGCAGCAGCCGTTGCTTTTTAAGGGAGTTGTGCTAAGGAGTCAGTAGCCCTGGGACTTTCCACGGAAAACAATACCAAAAATGCCAAAACCCTCAACACTGTCGTTGGCTATGCGGGGCAAGCCCAAGGATAATGCCAACACACCCATGAGCCCGAAAAGCCCGAGGTCGCCAGGCATGCCTGAGGATCTCGATTATGCGACACCAAATGCCGCGTTTCACAACATACCACAGTCACCGGCCTCCCCGAAACCTCGCAAAGACTCCAAGAGCATCTTCTCCAATTTCAGTGCCAACAAGTCGTCATCACGTCTCAACAGCCAGGGCAACTCGATACGGCAGCTTCCCGAAAACCAGCCTTCGCCCAGCTTGTACTCTAATGGGCGCGGCGGTGCGTCCACACCAGACCTCGGCCGTCCTGTGCGCACCCCGAATTCCGACGGTATGTTTACGGCAACTCAGACAAATCCCCTCTCGCTAATTACCACAGACAATCGCTCCGAAGTCGTACGCTTAGACCAACGAACAGGGTCAGGCAATTCCAACGACTCTTCCGACCCGTACGCCGACTCCTCGAAGCGCAACACCATCAAGCCGAAGAAGGGTATCCTATCGAGATCGAAATCCATTAAAGAAGGCGAGAGTTCTGGGTCCCGCGCAAAACTGAACAAGGCACCCCCGGGGCAACTGTCACCCGACATTGCGAGTTCGTGGACGACCAACGGCGATGGTATGCCATCAAAAACGGCGCCAATGGATAAAGGTCAATCATGGCGAGGGATAGGCAAGCCACGAACACACTCAGCCGATCGTCAGGATGGCTCCAAGCACATACAACGGGATGCCGATCACGGGCAAAGGAGAGACAAGTCAGAACAAATCTCACTAGCATCAAACTCATACAACGAAACCAAGGGGCATGGCTTCATCTCGAAACTAGGTTCTGGGGCTCGCAACATGGGAGAGAAGATGGACTCGGCACGAAAGGGCGTATTTGGCAAACTGGGGCGAAGCTCAAGCAACCACGAAAGTCAGACGCCCATATCGAACGAACCATATGTGTGCAAGATCATTCACAAGCCGTTGATCGAGCAGACGAGGCTGACACGAATATCGACCCGTCTGGAACAGTCCCGCGATAAAACTGAATTCTGGATGCCAGCTCTACCTTGGCGGTGCATAGAGTAGGTTGTGTCCCGAATAGTTCCGGATTCCCAGGCTAACAACAAGTGTAGCTACCTGAACATGAGGGGTTGTGAAGAGGAAGGCTTGTATCGTGTTCCAGGGTCAGCCCAACAGGTCCGGTATTACGAACGCAAATTCGATGAGGGTAAGACTATCTTGATCGCTACCCGTGACAGCTGCTCACCAAGCCCCAGATCGAGATATCGACCTGATCAGCGACCCCAACCTGAACGACCCAAACGTCATCGGCTCACTGTTCAAGAACTGGCTCCGACAGCTGCCAGATGAGATCTTCCCAAAAGCTATTCAGACCGCTATCCAGCAAGAATGTCAGGGCGCTAAGACGACACCGCAAATGCTTAAGGATGAGCTATCCAAGCTTCCGCCGTTCAACTACTACCTGTTATTTGCCATCACCTGTCACATCAGCCTGTTACACTCATGCTCGGAGTTCAACAAGATGAACTACAACAACTTGTGCATCTGCTTTCAGCCTGCAATCAAGATCGACGCCTTCTGCTTCCAGTTCCTCATCTTGGACTGGCGAAACTGCTGGCAGGGCTGTTGGACGGAGAAGGACTTTTTAACGGATGAAATCAACTTCCTAAACGCTGTAGAAGTTGAGTCCCAGCAGCAACAGCAGCAGCAGCATCATCAACAACTGCAACAACAACAAACCCCCTCTAGGAACGGACCACCTCAAAGCGCCGGTAAAAGCAAAGGCAACAACTCGCCCCAAGTTCAGCCTTCGAAGAAGCCTGTTACGACGCGGAGTCAGTCCACGGACCACGTTAAATCATCCTCAAGAGGACTCTCGTCGGAGAGGAGTGGACGCGCTACACCCCCGAACCCTTCGCTGGTGTTGTCGGAACCCTCGAGTAACCCCGTGTTACGCATGCGCGGCGGCGGCGGTTATGGTGAGCGCGAGACTTCACCCGAGCGAGTCATTTCATCTTCAGACAGTCGAGATGGGGGTCACCATGCGCGGAGCACACCGCGTGCACCTCCCTCGGTTAGCACTGAAGCGTCCTCAATCGACCTAGACGAGAATGCAACGCCGACTCAAGCACAACATAGTCGGGGACCATCTGAATCGACGCAATTCCGACTAGACCTACGGGATCCACCGGGCTCCCCATTCAACATCAAATTCTGATGAGATGGTTGAAAATACGGCGAATCATGTGTTTAGCGCATGTGTATGCGGCGACGATAGAAGAAGGGTTGGATTTGACCGCTTGATTTTCGCATGTTCGATTCGTCCTGTGTGGGCTGCCACGAGGTTGTGATACCCGTCCTTTGACCTCTCTGAACTCGTGGCAGCAATATTGCCCAATAATTGTTTAGTAGCCAGCGCTGGAGTTTGGGCCGCGTATTGCTTAGCTGCTTATTTATTCCTGCATTATGTTGCATACGGGCGTTGGAGAGCGGGCTGGTATGAAGTAGCATTTGAGCGGGTTCATTTGTATCATATGTGGATATCGTCGCATGGCAGAAAGCGTTTCCATGGCAGTTTCAACGTGTTCAACAATTTCCCTCGTACCAACTGCATCGAGTTGGGACGAGAGCCTAGCCCCCGCGCTATTGGAGAACTTGCACCCAGGAACGGGGCGCGGACTGGGGTTTGAGCTTGGGGCAATGACGTTTCTCCCGCGTGTTGCGCTTGCGGCTCATATGCTTCGCGACCGCCCACCGCCGATCTCACACGTCTCCAGGCGCTGCTTCTTTCTCTCCACACAGAGGGCAATTGACCCTCAGAAGCGACTGCGCACACGGCTACCGGACTGCTTATAACCTCAGTCGAGCCCGTTACTCCTACATCATACCCCCACCACTACCTCTGACTGCATCACCGCCATTACTACGTCAAAGACGTATATCCTAGAGTACTGTAAAACACCTACGGTCATTGTTTACCACCACACAATTTCTTCGCAACCATTCAGTCTCTTGACATCATCATGTCTGTAGCACTGCCACACCACTCCAAGTCTTCGGACCGCAAGGTTGTCTACTTGCTGCCATTGACCGACAATGGCTCTCCAGATGTCGCTGGCACCTATATCTACCTACCTCCTCCCACCGAGCCAGCATACTCGATTTGCTTCCAGATCCAAGGTACTAGCTCGATATGTCGCGAGGGCAGTCTCTGGGTGAACATCCCTGCTGAGGGTGAGAAGTTCAAGCGTAGCCAGTACCGCGAGTACAAGTAAGTGATCATCTATACCGCCTGGTCACATGTCACTGACTTTTTTTTTTTTTAAGATTACAGCCCGACTTCACAGGCATGTGTGAGATTGAGATCCCCATCTACGAGGCCAATGCCTTCTCCTTCTACACGACCTATAAACCGCTGCCGCAGTGGTCCTTCACAGATGTTGCGTCACCTGAATCTACGCGGACGGACACATACTACATCGACATATGTCCAAATCTCAAGTTGCACGGCGAGCACTTGCCGGTCGAGGCCGTCTGCATCTTTTCTGCATTGTCCAAGTTCATGGGCAACTACCCCACTGACTGGGACAACCACCTCCGGGGCATCAGCCAGCGTGGCTACAATATGGTGCACTTTACTCCGCTTATGATGCGTGGGTCTTCAAACTCGCCATACAGCATTGCTGACCAATTGGTCTTTGACAAGGCCTTCTTCAAGGAGGGTGAGAAGGACATTGCGAACATGATCCAAAGGATGCAGAATGAATTCAATCTGCTTGCTATGACCGATGTCGTCTGGAATCACACGGCCAACAACAGCCCATGGCTTGAGGAGCATCCAGAATCCGGCTACAACGTCGACACGGCTCCTCACTTGCGACCCGCTCTGGAGCTGGACACGGCGCTGTTGCAGTTCGGCAAAGAGCTCGCTCAACGCGGTCTGCCTACAACCTTTAACAGCGAAGGAGATCTTCTCAAGGTCATGGAGGGCGTCAAGGAGCACGTCCTTAGCAAGGTCAAGCTCTGGGAATACTACGTCGTTGACGTCAAGAGGGATACCAAAGCCATTATGGAGGCTTGGACCTCTGGCCAGGCCAAATTCATCGATGGCAGCTTTAGTGAGGCTGGTCTTCGTGGCCTCGATGCTGTCAGAGATTGGCCACTGAAGCAGAAGGCTGACTGGTTGGTCGAACATGCTCTGCGCGGTGGTGACCGCATGGGCGAGCGCTACCGTCGCACAATGGACCCGAACATCAGTGCCAGCCTCCTCTGCGCTTTGTTCGGCCGTTATGACACTCGTACTAGCAATACGCCCGACGACCGCGCAGCTCAAGGCACTATCACGGCTATTCTCAACGAGGCCAACCTTCCATTCTACCGCGAGTACGATGGAGACCAAGCAGAGATCTTGGAGCAACTCTTCAACCGGATCAAATATGTCCGAATAGATGCCCACGGTCCCAAGCTTGGCGAAGTGACTGAAGCGAACCCACTCATCGAGACTTACTTCACGCGATTACCACTCAACGAGAAGACAAAGAAGCATAACCCGGAAGCCCTCGCTCTAGTGAACAACGGTTGGGTATGGGCAGCAGATGCGATGCGGGACAACGCCGGGCCCAAGTCGAGAGCATATCTAAGGAGAGAAGTCATCGTCTGGGGCGACTGCGTCAAACTCCGATACGGAGACGGTCCAGAAGACAACCCATTCCTTTGGGACCACATGGCCAAGTACACGCGTCTCATGGCCAAATACTTCCAAGGCTTCCGCATCGACAATTGCCACTCTACGCCTCTACACCTTGCGGAGTACATGCTTGACGAAGCCCGCAGCGTGAACTCAAATGTCATGGTTTGCGCCGAACTTTTCACTGGCTCTGAAGAGATGGATTACAAGTTCTGCATGAGGCTCGGCATTTGTGCGCTGATTCGAGAGGCGATGCAGTCATGGAGTACTCAAGAGCTGAGTAGACTGGTTCACCGACATGGTGGTGTTCCCATTGGAAGCTTCGAGACCGACGAAGTGCTCAACGCTGCACAGGCGACTGATGGAGCAGACCAGACAAAGCCAATCATCAAGAGAATCAAGCGCAGTCCTGTCCACGCGCTGTTCATGGATTGCACGCATGACAACGAGACACCGGCTCAGAAGCGAGACGCACGCGACACGCTGCCCAACGCCGCGCTCGTTGCCATGTGCGACTGCGCAACCGGTAGCGTCTTCGGTTATGACGAGGTTTACCCCGAGCTGATCGAGCTTGTGCACGAAAAGAGGCTTTATTCCTCTGCTAATTCTACTGGGGGCCCAATCAAGCCCGAGGCTGGTGAAGGTGGTATTGGTGGCATCCGCAAGATTATCAACGAGATCCACGTCAAGATGGGTAGGGAGGAGTACAACGAGACTTACATCCACCACGACAAAGAGTACATCACCGTTCATCGCGTCAACCCCAACACCAGGAAAGGATACTTCCTTATTGCCCACACTGCGTTCCCTGGTTACGGCAATGGCAACGGAGGCTTCGGCGAGACCAAGCTACCGGGCACACAGGCGAAGCTCATTGGCGCCTGGAACCTCGAAGTTGACAACAGTCCTGAGACAAGAGCACGTATCATTGGCGACAAGACAACACTACGTGGCTTGCCCAGTAAGACAAACAACCTCCAGGGCGTCGACATCAAGTCAGCTGGCGATGACACCACGATCACCATTCCTGACAAATTTCCCCCTGGAAGTATCGCTCTCTTCGAGACCTGGGTGCCCAGCGCAGAGCACGCTGATGGTCTCGACAAGTTCATCACCAGCGGAGCGCGTGCGGCGTTTAGTGGTGTCAACCTTGTCGATCTGAACTACATTCTGTACAGATGTGAAGAAGAAGAGAGGGACGCCACGGATCATAAGGATGGAACATACAACATTCCTGGTCACGGTAACCTAGTATACGCTGGTCTGCAAGGCTGGTGGAGTGTACTACGCGACATTGTAAACGAAAACAATCTCGGCCACCCGCTCTGCAACCATTTACGTGAGGGTAAATGGGCGCTCGACTACTGCCTTGGTCGTCTCCAAAAGATCTCCCAAAAGGAGCAATACGTCAACATCAAGGGCCCCGCCGAGTGGCTGGAGGCAAAGTTCGATGCCATTCGCAAGATCCCTAGCTACATGCTTCCACGATACTTCGCTATGGTCATCCAGACTGCATACAACGCTGCAGTAGAACGAGCAATTGAGCTCATGGGCGAGAATGTCCGCGAGGGCAACCAGTTCCTGAAGAGTCTCGCACTTGTCAGCTGCCAGGTCACTGGCTACATGAACAGCGCCTCTTTGTGGCCAGAGAAGAGCGTGCCCAGCATGGCCGCTGGTCTCCCCCACTTCGCCAACGACTGGGCAAGATGCTGGGGACGTGACATTACCATTTCAGCTCGTGGTCTCTACATGGGAACCGGTCGGTATGCTGACGCCAAGGAGCACATCTTTGCCTTTGCTAGCGTTCTCAAGCATGGCATGGTACCTAATCTCCTTGGTGGTGGGAAGAACCCGCGTTACAACTCCCGCGACTCAGTCTGGTTCTTCCTTCAAAACTGCCAAGATTACACCAAGATTGTGCCAAACGGCATGGAGCTTCTTCATGAGAAGGTCAAGAGGCGATTCCTACCGTATGATGACACATGGTTCGCTCATACCGATGAGCGAGCGTACTCTCAATCTTCTACCATTGAAGATGTCATCCAGGAAGCTCTGCAGCGACACGCTTCCGGCATGGAGTTCCGCGAGTACGACGCGGGCCCGAACATCGACAGTCAGATGAAGTCTGAAGGTTTCAACATCAAGATCTGGACTGACTGGGAGACGGGTATGATCTTCGGTGGCAATCAATGGAATTGCGGTACATGGATGGACAAAATGGGCGAGAGCGAGAAGGCCGGCAGCAAGGGTCACCCGGGTACGCCACGAGACGGTGCTGCGGTCGAGATCATCGGCATGTTGTACAGCATAGTACGCTGGTGCGCCAACATGTACGATGCAGGCCAATTTAAGTACCAGGGTGTGACACTGGACGACGGTAATAAGACTGTTACATACAAGGAGTGGGCCGACCTGATCAAGGCCAACTTCGAGCGTTGCTTCTACGTTCCACGTTCTGCAGACGAGGATAGCAAGTACGATGTCAACCCCAGCATCATCAACCGTCGTGGTATTTACAAGGACTTGTACCGCTCCGGTAAGGAGTATGAGGACTACCAGCTGAGGCCAAACTTCGCCATCATGATGACGGTTGCACCAGATCTTTGCGACCCCGAGCACGCTTTGTACGCCCTCCAGACGGCCGACAGGGTCCTGCTCGGTCCACAGGGCATGAAGACGCTCGACCCCTCCGACCTCAACTACCGGGGTTACTACATCAACAGCGAAGATTCGACTGATTTCCACACTTCCAAGGGCCGCAACTACCACCAAGGCCCCGAGTGGCTCTGGCCCACAGGGTTCTTCCTGCGAGCCATGCTCAAGTTCGATCTGCAGCGCCGCAAGACGCCCGACGAGCGTATCGAGAGCTACCAACAAGTCACACGCCGTCTCGCCGGTTGCATGAAGGCCATTCAGGAGTCGCCCTGGGCTGGTCTCACGGAGCTGACCAACAAGGATGGTGCCTTCTGCGGTGACTCGTGCCCCACGCAGAGTTGGAGTGCTAGCTGCATTATCGACTTGTTCCAGGACGCGCGCGAGTATGAGATGGCGGGGCAGGGTAAGGCTGGCCAACAGTCTTCGTCGTTGGCCGATATGGCTGGCAGTGTTAAGAAGTTTGTAGCCAAGATGACTTGAAGAGGTGTGGTTTGGTGGTATAGAGTAGTAAGAGACTGTTGTTGTAGATACCTAAAGTAGTGCTTTAATGACCTCCAATTCGTTCATTTTCATCATCGCTCGCATCTGACAATGACTTTGCTCCGGTTCGTGTGCTAGTATATAGGCTTGCCTCGAGCCCAATGCTCGCAAACCTCTTATAGGTATGATGAGCAGTGCGCCGTATGTGTCGCCCTGCTGGTGAGCAAGCAACCGTGAGTGTATCGTATACCGAGCGGGCTACAAGGAAACTGCAGTCGCACGACGGGTGAATATGGAAGTGACGGAAGCCTACAAAGCCTCTACCGAGAGGCTTCTGTTGATCGAGGTGTGCTTGAGTGATTGCGGGCGGCGTTGGACTGACTCTGTGAGGAGGGGGTATACTGTCACTGCGCTCAACGTTAGCACGTACGAAGAAGCTCCTTTTTTCTTAGCTGTACTTGGGTAAAGTGTACCCTTGAGGTACTCGCGGCGTTTTACAGTAGCATATACATAGCGTAACACATAGTGAATACCTCTAATGTGCTTTGTTGCTAGGGTATCGCTTGGAGTACGAGCTTCTGGTAGGATTGCGGTACATTCCACACAAGATCGTTGAGAGTACTTGGCCGGTAGGATTAAAGGTAGACTAAGACATCTATGGCGGGGGAACTGGAACTCCTACACGAGATCTCCACTGGGGTTGCGTTGGCAAGGTGGATGGAGCACGGGCGCATGGTAAGCGTTATTGAGTCATCACTAATGGAAGCATGAGTTGCGAAGCACGAGGTGAATGAATGTACGTGACAAAGCTATCCACTGCCGTGGCGACGCAAAAGACTATGGAATTCACACTATGTCTCCTATATCCTGTTTCATCAGTGTTAGTCTCTTTGCCACGTCGCTCTTCCTCCTCCTCACTACCTACCTCAACGACAACCTCTAAAATCAGACACGTCTGACAATCATCTCACCAATGGCGAATCAACACTCATCGTAGGATCCAAACAACTCACCGATGCGCTCTTGCCCAGTCGCTCTCCACGCCACCGCGCCTCAACAGACTCTCCACGCCAATACCCACAACAAGCGTTGTCGTATCATCGTCATCGTCATCATCATCATCATCAGCCACCAGCATGTCACAAGAGGACGCCTTCTCCGCGCGCTTCCTGATTGCAGCTGTTCGTAGCGACACTAGCGCTATGCAGCAAGAGTTGCACCAGATGCTGTCGGTTGCACAGAGCCGAAACCAAGACTGTCTATTTCTGAAACAGCAACGGAAACAGGAGGTTGAGGCGAATCACGGCGAGATGGATTGCATGCACAAGCGAATCCGGGACTTGGAGGCTGAGGTAAGGCGCATGGAAGGGAGGTCAGGTGGATGAAAGATAGGCCGTGAGTGTGTGTGTTCGAGACAGGGTCTTTCCCGGTGGAAGATAGTGTAGCCGTGTAATCCTTCTGCTGCGTAGGCGCGTAAATGCTCATCTTGAGCAGATTGAGTATAGACGGACGCGCCTTGGTGGTAGTCGCAGACTCCTATCGACAACGAGCATGCAGATTACAATTCTCGATAACATCGGTTACATATTATGCCTTGTGCCAATAGCTTACACCAGGAATTTGTTCCTTCTCCCGGGATGATCTGGCGTGATCAGCCTTCTTGTTCCTCGAAAGAAGAGGGTTCAAATTGCGCCATCGTCGACTGACAGGCGGCCGGATGCTTGCGAAGGAAACAGTCGCTTGCTTTTGTGTGTCTACCGATCAGAATGTCGTGCATAAAGAAGCACTGTAGCTACCCGTGTCTTTACTCAGTTCGGACACGCGGCTGTGCATGTCGGCTCAAGTCAGTGGAAAAACAAAATCTAGATACCGAAGATGTGTTAGTACTCTCTATCAGCGCGTTGATACCTATGAGAACTGCCTCATTCGGACGCTTATCATCCCTACGATCATCCTTACGATAACTTCGTGGTGTTGTGCTACTGCGCCGTTGGATGCATGCATTGACTATGCCGTCGGCTTCCTGCGGCAAAGGCTCGAGTCAGCACAACCAACCACGAATCATCTTCCTTTCACTTTTGCCACAAGCCCTGCTTGGTTTCAGGAACGATGCGTAACACCGCTTCTCGCATGAAGTTTAGATGTTGGTTTAAGGTACGGATGCGGCCCGTATGGCGCCCCACAGCTCAGAATAAATGCCTTGAAACGCTTGGTCAATGCTTAGGATGAAGCCAGACACCGTTGAGGAAGGGTTGAAGGGGCGGTCCTGATATCGAGTCTGTCGCCACAATATCGGTGTAGGTGATCAAAATGGCCTTGCGCACAGAGGCATGGCCTGGATCATCCTTGGAGGTAAGCACTCTTGCGTAAGCGGCACATGCGTGATATTGTCGTTAACTGTCCATCATCAGGCGACAAGGAACCGAGGCATAGTGGGTTGTCACTCGAAAAGGATGGGTGAGAGGGGCGCCCCCTACGAGAAGGGCCGAAAGTGTGCAGAGTGACAGTCTTTCAGCTCTCAAGTTCGCAGTCCAAGGCTGCAGCGACTAATTGGCCATCACTTGGTCAGGGTCTGTCTTCTGCAGTGTTACAGGCCAATCGCATTCGTGCCTGCTGGGCATGGCATTGTTCGCGTATATGCAGTGTTGGCAATTTACCATAGGTATGCTGACGGGCAAATGAGGTATAGATGTTCGCGTCAACGGGGCTAGCTGCACTGCCTGCCAGATAACGCATGCGAGCCATCGCCAGGCACGAACAGGCGAGATCTAAACATGATGTGAGGGTAGCAATTGTGCCGTCTCGCTCAAGACATGGTATCTAGTATTGAGCACCCTCGATGCGTGAGTCAGTCGCGTCGAGGCCAGTATAGGCTTGACCTATTATGAGATTAGTAGGCTTGAGCTTCCTGTGTTTTCTGACTATAGTTGCGCAGATTGCTTCAACCTAGCCAAGTCGGGAGTGTTGTGCATCTCAAAGCTTTCGATCCTTCGATGTCGTGCAGGCACGCATACATGCCTAAGCGAATAACTGATGGCGAAACTCGCCACAGGGACGTGAGAAAGCTTACAAGAGACAGGTGGGTCAAGGCTGCCGCTGTGAGCCAAACATTGCTGGTGCAGCATCTGAACTGATTGGTCCAACATTTCTTCAACGTCGATCTTTGTGAGGGGATTAGCGTTAATGAGGTGATGCACGCGAGGCGGGGGAGGACTCCCGTAGCAGGGATTAGCGTGAGTATGAGTCTAGGGCTTAGCACTCACTTGGCTCGACCGCATTTACGGACTCGCTAGGTACGATGTGCCCATGCGAGCAACGTACGTGTCCTATACAGATGTCCGTGATGAGCATGGCTACATGAGACGAGTGATGAGAGCCCACTAGGTAGGTCTGGTCGCGATAAGACATGCCGTTATGCAAGCAAAGGATGAATGCAAGCAAGGCATCGGTTCATTGGTCTGCAGACAGAGCAATCAGTCGATGGCGAAGCAACCGACTTGGGCTTCGGCCTAGGTTAGTGATGAGCACCTTGGCTTGCGGTGTAACTCCTCAGGATAATGACCTTGTACCACAGCAGGAAACACTCGTGAAACTTGCGGAAAAGTTGAGCAAGCCGATGACAGACTCATGTACTCGGGCCGTGGGTAAACCGCGGCGTCTCATAGTGGCGCTTGATTCTTTGAGAAGCGGACGACTCGTTTGCCAATAGTCGAATGTACGGGATGGTCATATTGGCTAGAGCCGTGAAGAACTTGCATTATCGCCCGCAGGTTTGGGGTTGCATGTCCTGTCGGTTGTCCAAACACGCGTTATAGTTAGTAGGTGTAGCGTAACGGATGAATGATCCCCACACAAAGAGCTATTTTGATACTGATAGAGGATCCTCCTTCGCGGCGTAGCAGGCTGACAGCATTGTAGGATCGCCATGCAACTACCCGAAGGTCACTACGGGCAAGTACTGATCTGGTCATTTCGGCGCACAATGTAACGGGGAAATAGTTTGACTCGATTGTTGCTCATGCACACCGCTTAGTGCCTCTGAAAAAATGTCCGGGTGGTAAAGTGTGTAGACGAGGAGGTCCTTCGAAAGCGTGGTTATCGGTCAAGTTTGGAAGCAGGGACTGGTTGTGGGCCAATCAGACTGCGGTCGGTATACCGAGGAAAGGCACTTTTGACTTGGTCGAAGGGCGCGAGCGCGGGACGGATCCCATTCGGTCCGGTAAATGAGGGTCGCCCATGTCCCATCGGTGAAGCAAATGGGGCGAGAGTCGGGTTGCAGGGCACTAGATGGCCGTTGAATGCGTCAGAAGGGTGCAGCTGAAGCTTACCGTTTGGCGCCACAAACACCGTTGAGTGCTAGCCGAAACAGCAAATGGCTAGATGAGGGCTAAATGCTAACGGCTTTGGGAGTCCGAGGAAGAAGTCCAGATATGGCGGGCAAGTTGGGGTGCTGCCACTCTTTCTGGTGAGGCGCTTGGCGGGTGTTGCCAGGAGTAATTGGGCCCATCGAACGCCTGAGGGCGGCACAGTCGTCAACAGGTGGTAAGCGGTGCCTTTGGCCATCGCTCTCGTTTTCGGAGTCGCGTTTCCCATCGTTGTGTTTCCAGTGTCGCATTTCCCGGTCCAGAGCCTCGTTCTCGCGGCGCGTTCGTCCCCGAGACGGGAAGCCCACAGTTGCGTTCATTCGGATGCAGCCGCAGTCGTCCAAAGAAGCAAAGGAACACCCTGGCAGAGAGGCACATTGGACAGTGGCACAGGCGGCGTCTAAGATTGGAGGGAGAGTACGGGAGGAGTCACGTGGGGCATGGCTAGGTAAGCAGCTAGCCGCAGTGGGCGCACAAGGCCGGACAGGTCGCTGCACAGCAAGACACCCACCTGTCGACTTTGGCGGGCCGATTGCTGGTCGAGGATCCTGTGCGCTGTGCACTGTACTCGTGCTTCTGGTGTCACTCGGATCCGGAGCATGGTGTTCAGTGTCGTCCATGTCCTGTCTTGTGCTCGTCGGGGGGCCGGCGGCAGGGCTCGAGTCTGGCAAGATTGGCATGCCACAAGCGGATCTTCAGCCGTCTGCCCCGAGCCCCTTAGCGCCTTCGCACGCTTCCGCGTCTGGCGTCCCGCCGTGCGAGGTCCATGCTGGCAACATGGGTGGCTATGGGTGCGACATGGGTGGCTGTGGGTGGGCGACATGGGTCGACATGGGTTCGTTGACGGCATCAGGTCCCCGCTGCATGCCATCTCAAGTGGGCCCCAAAGCTCTCTTTCACAGTGCAGCAGCGCCTTCCCCCGCAGCCTGCGCAAACCAGTGACATGCCCTTGTCCCAAGCCCCTCAACGGGGGCCTCCAGCCGCTTCTTCCTGAGCGGAGCTGCACAAGAGTTACTGGAAATACTAGACCCTTTCCACTCTTCCCGTGAGACCCTACTCCTTGTGCGACCCTGCTCTTCTTCCTCAACTCCCATCATCACCGCCGCCTGACCGCCAGATTCAAACTTAAGACGACCGAATGCCATGATGGGGAGCGACTGGCATCCACGCAGGCACCCGCAGCCCGATTCCAACCACTTTCCCCGAACCCTCCCCAGCTTTGCTGAGCTGACATCGTCGTCGTCCGACTCAGTCCTGCAACGTCCGCGTGACTCTGTGCCGCCGCCTACGCCAGCCGACCGGCCTGTCTCGCAACCCACGCCGCCGACGACGCTCGCTGCGCTGGACTTTGCGAATTCGAATTCGTCGGCCTCTTTCACAGCAATCAATCACTCGAGCCCGCATGTCAGGTAAGTAGCCGTGACAGAGCCTGCGGCAAGCGTGCTGACTTGTTGGGCAGCCCCACCAACACCAGAATTCCAGCACTTGCACCAGAACATCAAAGGTTTTCTCTTTCATTACCACAGGCGACTGCCGCATCATACAGCCCGGCAGTCTCGTCATTTGGTTCATCTCGACCTTTGCAAGACGCTGCACCACCGCAGCCACCACCAACTGTCAACGTTCGCCAAGACTCTGCCATCTCCCAGCACCGCTTCGACAACTCCAAAGAAGCCGAGTCCTCTCTCCCTTCAGCTGTTCTTGCCTTTTCTTATTTCCACCCTGTTGTGGGTAATGGCCGTCAGTCCAACGCTTCTCCTCATTCCCCAGCGAGCGAATACCGCTCAAACCAGGCACCTGTAGAGACAGGAACCCGCAACCAAAACGGTGCAACCTCGCCCTCGTTATCTTCAGACGCCCACATTTTTGCAGAATCTTCCAGGTCACCAGAGCAAGCGCGAGACGCCAACACAGATTCCGGATCCAGGAGACCATTACCATCTCCTACATTGGATCAAACAAACAGCAGTGGACGACATCAACGCTACAACGTAAGATTTAACACCGTCTACACCTCGGAAAACATGCCGCCCAACCAAAGACCCCGGCCAGACCCTCATCCGACGGCCCCTGTGCCAGTGGAGACTCCCGAAGAACAGCCATCGCCTGAGCACACTATCAAGCCTTCTGTGGAGCAAGCTATCTTGGCCATCACCACTGCAGCTCCTCCCCCTATGGAGGATTCGGCGCAGCTTCAGCAAAATACGCCGCAAGTCGAGCGATGCAAGAACTGTGGTGTTCGCTGGAAGCGGCCTTTACCCGGAGAGAATCAATTTCGTAATAGTTCGCCCGCACAAAACATACGCGAACAGACGAGGTTGACGGAGGATTATATCAAACGACTAGAAAACCACACAAAGTACGCCGACGAAGCGTATGCACATTGGGTACGCCAACATCAGATGTGCGCTGCGACTGCAACTAGTCCGCCTGAGACGGAAGCCGCCCATAAGTCACGGAGCAGAAGCGTAGAAGACCCTTCACCTCCTAGTCCTCCAACCTATCCTGTTTCTGCCAAGCGAAAGTCCGAGATACCTCACGAAGCCTCCAAGTACCGAAAAGTAGTAACATTCGACCCCCCATCCAACCCGACACCACCCGTCCGCCCCACCGCTCCGGCTTAGGTCACTAATGTCTACATTACACCGTTCACGATTACGCTTCCGCACACGAAAGTTCTCATTCGATTCACGTCCGCATTTGCATTTGGGTTGGTGTTCATGACAGCAAAAGAAGATCCTCCGCTATACCCCCCATCCGGTCGTCTTCACGCTTTTGCCTTGGCTGCTATTTTTTGGCATTTGGTACTGTAAGGGTTTACTGCTCGGAAGAGATGGGATAAGAGAAAGATCGGCGTTATTATTCTTGGCAATGTCTTCCTCTTCCCGGCGTCATCCTTTTTACGCCACTATGGCTCTCTATGATGAGTAGCATTTATCATGTTGCTGCTCAGATCTGCACGTTTCATGGTGCTATGTATCACCTGATGTACATGGTACGCCTCCACATCTACGTTTCGCACCTCCTTCGCCCGCGTCCCATCTCCGGTGCCGGCAGCATGTACCTATCCCGCCAGCTATTACTCGACGATATTGCTACTATACCCAATCTGATCTCTTCTTCACAACTGTTGGACTGCTGCACCAGTCGAGTCTCCACTACTGACCCTGTTACCAAAGCGCGAAACTCACAAACCTTATCCAAACATTAGGGGCCCAGCATCCCGTGCTCAGACAAGGATGCACCAGCCCCGCACAAGCGACGAGCGTCAAAGCGGTTCGGTACGAAACCCAAAGTATCAATCAATATGGATCCGCTGAAACAGAGTTCTGGTATCCCGATCGATCTCTGGCTCACCCTTGCACCTGGATGCAGTCTTTATTGACGCAGTCTCGACTTTTACATGTACAACAGCCGGCAAATTCAATCGCAACCGCGCTCTAGCGTGTCGACATCATTCAACGCCTCACACTCGGCGGAGCAGCGAATCACACACTCAGGGCATGTTACAGCTTACGCTATCCGAATTACCTGCATGACTAGATACACCCTTACATGGCTACTCGCAAAAACGGGATAGGGTGACACGGCTGACGGCTGCCGAGCGGGGCTTCCCGAGTCGCCAACGCTGTTGAACTCGCTATCGCGGCTAATCATAATTCGTCGCTCAACTTCCCCATTCCGGTACAGCGGAGTCTTTCGGTGCCGCTTGAGTTTGGCCGACTCCGGTATGCTCTCGAATATCGATTTTGAGCTGGATCATCGCGGATTTGGGATGCAGCTTACATGCGGTCATACAGCGTAATGGCAACTTAGGCAAAGGATTTTACAAGAGCTGGTTTTGTGTATGTGGCTAGCAGATAGTAGGTTTTGTGTTGCCCAGCAGATTGTGCATGGTTTTCCTTGGTGCGGGGAGTACACGGAGGTCTAGGTATCAAACACATACAATCGAGCCACAATTGACAATGACCTCATCATCAGTGTCCACTTGGGCGGCGTCATCAGCCTCGCCAATCATCACCTTTTCGATACCGTTCTTACGGGCTTCGCCACGCCTCTCTCACGCGACTGCTTGCTGATCTTTTGATGTTCGCCTCACGAAATATCCATGTAAACCCAATCGGTCGCTTAGAATTCACCAAACTGAACAAAATGCACCCGCAACAATTCCGAGTTGCTGGGTTCAAAGACCTCGGAACGCCCTTGCAACGTTCTTGTATAAATAGTGAGCGTCGATCGCTCGGAGCACGCAGCGCCTTCGGGAAACGCTGGGTGCCGATTGCAGATCTAGGCTCTAGCGCAGGCAAAACTCTCTCGGCGCGTGCTAACGGCTTGTGTCGCTGGCTGGGAGCGCGAGGCTACGGGAACGCTCGTCGAGTCACAACACCTGGGCAGTTGTTTGAGAATGTGGGTATACAATCGGTCCGTAACGTGATTGCAAACCTGCTATACCCGGACTTGAATCTTGGCTGCGATGCCGAAAACAACGCCTAAGTGCCGCTTAATATCCTTCGGCAGCATACGGCGTCGAAATGGTTGCATGATATACGTCATACCACCTGCAATGTGCTAAGGGGGCTGAGGTGTTTGGGCTTCAAGACCTTGTCGCTCACGTCCTGTAAAGCTATCCGCCCACGACGCAAAAAGTCACAATTGAAGCCACGTAGCAGTTGGACCTGACCCAGAAATAAGGCTCCATTTGTTAGCAAGTTTTCTGCACAAGGCAATCTTCTATGCATGAACTTGGACGCTCTAGACGCACCACTGTACCCACGCGCCAATTCCTTCCTGATACAGCAGCAGTATACAAGTACAGTTCATATCCTTTTCCGCTTCCCCTACTTGGCGATGCATCATCGACCGCGGGAAGGCACAGACAGTACTCGCAACCGTCCTTCGTCAGACCCAGCGAAACGCTAGCCGCAAGAGCGTAGCCTTGGGGTGGAGTCGCCCCGACTGACGCCGTAGGCTAATACAACACAGGCCTTTCGAGTCGCGGGCTCTCCCTGAAGCTCGACCCATGCATTGTTTGATTGGCGCATCAGCCACTGAGGGCCAGAACCAAACACACCTGTTCCTTTCGCTTCCCGCGCAAATACACATTAATCTGACTCGCCAGCCGTTGTGGGATCACTGGGGTGTCTTGTGCGCATCTCACCTCACGTGAGAAGACTGCCGTTGGGCGTGCCGGCGGAATTTCCCCGTTGCCTCCTGGTTTGCGTACATCCTGACTCGTGGCGCAGTAAATCCGCCCCCTCACAGTTAGTAGCGGAGTGAATAGACGGACCTGAAATGAACCCCTACCGTGATCACAGGACAAGCCGCGTCTGCAAGACTACGCCTCTCATCACAACCGTGGCGATGACAGCTGTCAAAAGACAGGGCCCTTTATGCAGCCTGGTCGTAACAGGCAAGAGACGGGCTGCGGTTGCATTGGCCCGAACGACGGCCTTTCTTGCAGGTGGAGCATTCCGCGGCAGCAACCTTCCTCGCGATATATTGTCTATACCTGAGCTTCGGTATAGCCTTCTACGGTTTGCACACTCCGCCTACAAGCGCGATGCAGCGCATCGCTTGCAGCTGATAAAGGCAAATTCCACCGCAAGAAAGTGCAGCAGGGGTGGACAAGATATCTTGCGAACTGGGATATGCAGCGAATCGGAAGGGTCGGCAGCGAAGCATTTCTCTCAAGTTGGCACATTGAACACCATTGGCAAGAACGTCGGCGGTTGGGCTTGGAGTTCGCGAGTAATGCTATCAAGAACGTTACAGGTAGCATACCGATAACATCATTGCTGCATTAAATTACATTCCAACATTAGACGCAAGTGATTGGCTAGTTTGCACTTTGGTTCAGCAACGCACCAGATACAGCAGCCAGGCCGGAGACAAAACTTAGCTCCGTCCACGATACCGCATCAATACACTTTCGTCCCGTGCATACCAGCTCCGAAACCTCATCTTCAGCCGCCATTACCCCAACTGTGCCACAAAGGAGATGCGCTCACGGAATCCTGCATCCGCCCCTCAATCAACGGAAGACCGCGCAGCTACCAAGTGCACCGCAATCAAAGTGCGGTAGTACAATCCAGCCGAGTTTTCAATCTTGGTATAGAAGCTTCGCACGCGATTATAAGGGGTGAGACTCACGGCATGATGCAAGGGGCCTGCTTCATAGAGCACATTCTGCAATGTTAGGTTTACCGGTGTTATGCAGATGGTAGGCTGTAGCGCGCGCCGACTCTGCGGTTGCAACGCTTTCGTCCGATCCAAGAGCAAACTTGTTAAGGGCCTTGACTGCTGCGACTGGCTGGACTTCAACGCCGATGTGCGGATATGTATGCAGGTTTTTCTAGGGTTGTATCACGTTGCGCAAGACTGATGATGCCCCTGCGTTCTCTTTGTGGTGTCGACACCCTGTATTACTCTACCATACACACAGATCGCTGTACGATACTAGGTCGCGGTCTCCGATCTATGTTGTATCAGATACCCACACCGTCTCACTTGCATGGTCATTTTGCTCAACTATTAGAGGTGCGGGTCAGAATTGCGCGGTCGTAAGTACAGGGAATAGGGCATATTTGTATCGTATTCGGGGACCAAGAAGGTTTGGAGATCGATCGTCGAGATCTTGTTCGAATGCGCAATCCCCCTCTTTTTTAACCCACGCTAGATGCCCTGGCCCGCATGAACAACCAGCAAACGACAATGACAACTACCCACTACCGGCGCGTCGTCGTCGCGACCTAGATCAAAGGATTCCCCATCCTGACATATCAGCTTGACCGTAATCAGACAATGTGGAAATCCATATGCACGAAGTCCCCATCTGTACTTTCCTCCTTTCTCACTTCGTGTTCCTCCCGCAAGCCACCTCCGCACTTAGCACTAGATATCGTTGTCATCGGAAAAAGCAAGTACGTGATATAAGTTCTCGTGCCATCGGGAGATTACGCCGATATTGAACACCTGCGTAACATAGAAATGCTTCCATTGGCTAGGAATACATGTCCGCAGACCGAGACAGCTGGCGGGTGACAGATTTCGCTTATCGTAGCTCGATCTAATATTGCCTTTCGTGGAGAGATATTGGATGATTTTTCTCGGTATTTTGCCCGTATGTGTGGGTGTGTGGGTGTGTGGGGTGTGGCAAGAGGCAAGCTAATACTAGAGCAGCTTTCAGGTACAAAGCTGTATTTGCATTGGTGGCAATCATTTTAGCCTTCTTTTGCTGTTGTCAGTACCTTTTCCCGCTCTACACCAATCCAACCGTCTCCTGGTTTGTTTGCTATCGAGTTGTGTCCAGAGAACAGGCCAAAATCGATTTCCGATTGGGGAAGTAGGCGCGAGTATGATTGTCTCATACACAAGTTGCCGGTAGAATAACGGGTAAATGTGATAGTAGAGTAGAATAGTCGACAGCCACTGTTTTGGATTTGCTCTCATGCTCGCGTTCGTGTCCAACGTCTCGAAGTATCAGGCGGAATCGGAGACAACAAATAAGCCGGTAGCATGGAATTGGAAATGAATCCTGGTTACTTTGCCAAGATGGAAAACGTCATGGATTGCGTCAAAAAGATAGACCCGTGCACATATACTTGGGAAAGGAGCAGAGGGTTGG